TAGCCAGAAAAATCTCAGCTGTCCACTCACTGCACAGCATGCTGGGATTAAGCATCATCGAGTCAGGCTCCGAGGTGCTTGGACGCTGGGACATGCTTCCTGCCGTCACCGAGCTCGGTGTGCCGGGGTCACCATGGTGCGTGCGGTGCGCCGTGCCAGCAAGGGGGTCCCAGCAGAGGACGGGCTGTGGTGTCCTCTGAGGCACAGGGCACGGAAGGGTGGCAGGTGTGCAGGGAAAGGTGACAACATCGCTTAGGTGTGTGAGCTGCATGTGCTGTGACCGGGGGGCAGCGTGAAGGTGGAGGCGCCAGGCCGGGCCGAGTCTGCCGCAGGGATGGGACCAGGTCCCGGACTCTCAGCAGCCAGGTCCTGTGGGTGGCAGAGCTCCTTGGTGTGTTTCAGAGCCTGGTGCACGTGTGGCCTCCTCTGTTCGTTCCTGGGGTTGCCTTGGAATAAAGGAGGAGGTGCGGTGGGCCGTGTAGTGGGGGATCTGCCCCCACGGCTGCAGTCCGGGGCCGTGGACCCCTTCCTAGGCTGTGGCATCCTTTCTCCAAGAGAGAGGGGCCTCCCGCGGGCAGCTACCAGCCTGCACGGCACACGGGCCCCGCGCCTGCCTGGAGTTTCCCGTCCTCTCTACCTCTTGGAGGGAGACCCCAGCCAGCAGCGGCGGCCTCGTCACGCTCCCCCTTGGCTTTCCTGCAGGTTACTCTGCTGAGTGTGGAGATGACGGCCCTCAAGGAGGAGAGAGACCGGCTCAGAGTGACGTCCGAGGACAAGGAGCCGAAGGAGCAGCTTCAGAAAGCCGTCCGGGACCGGGACGAGGCCATTGCCAAGTGAGTGAGCGGCTCCTTTCCCTCCAGGGTCATCACAAGGAGCCTGCTGTGCGCTCCGGGCCAAGGTTACATCCTCAGAGGAATAGAAAAGTGAAAGAGCGTTTCCCTGCTACCCACCCTCCCCCCACACCCGTTCTTCTCTCCAGGCAGACGCTGCTGAACGCTGGGTGGGCATGGCCTGCAGACCTCTCTCCTGCTCGTGTGCAGGCCTGTGTGCCATGTAGTTGCCGTGGGCTTTTGAGCATCAATGGATGATGCTCTGCATGTGTTGTTTTCCCCCCACTTACGTCTGAGAGAGCCTTCCAATTTCATTATAAACGCACTAGAGGCCTGGGACACAGAATCGTGCACCGGTGGGGTCCCTCAGCCTGGCCTGCGCCCTCTCACAATCTGGGACCCCTTGGGGGATGGAGGCCCAGTGCACCGATTCGGCCCGATCCCCGCAGGCCAGGCCGAGGGACCCCACGTGCACCAGGCCTCTAGTATGCATATAAGATCTTTGGTTAATCCAGTGGTTCTCAACCTGTGGGTCACGACCCCTTTGGCGGTCGAACGACCCCTTCACAGGGGTCGCCTAAGACCATCCTGCATATCAGATATTTCAATGACGATTCATAACAGTAGCAACATGACAGTTAGGAAGCAGCAACGAAAATAATTTTATGGTTGGGTCACCACATGAGGAGCTGTATTTAAAGGGCCAGAAGGTTGAGAACCACTGGGTTAATCTCTTCCCGTCCTCCGCCCTCCTCCCTTCCCTCTGAGGTTCATCAGTCTGTTCCATGTGTCCATGCCTGTGCATTGAGTGTCTGCCCCTAGTGGTCAGTGCGCATCATAGCTACCTGTTGAGCAGCTGGACAGTCGCTTAGGCTTTTATATATATAGATATCTACCTGGACATTATTTTGGGGTGGGTTTTTTTAACTTTTATTATGGACATTTTCAAGCATACACAGAAGTGGAAAACAAGCTGGATCCCTTCTTACCCATCTCTCAGCGTCAGCACTGACCAGCATGTGGCTAGTGTCTGACATCCCCACCCTCACCCACCTCCCCGCTAGAGGTGTTGAAAATCACAGCACATCCTGTCCACTCTCTATAAACACTTCAGTGTGGATCTCTGCCAGAAAAAGGCACTTTCTGTAAAACACAACCCACAGTGCAGTTATCGCACTTGAAAAAAGTTATAGTAATTCCTTTTTTTCTAAAATATATATTTTATTGATTTTTTACAGAGAGGAAGGGAGAGGGATAGAGAGTTAGAAACATCGATCAGCTGCCTCCTGCATATCCCCCACTGGGGATGTGCCCGCAACCAAGGCACATGCCCTCAACCGGAATCGAACCTGGGACCCCTCAGTCCGCAGGCTGATGCTCTATCCACTGAGCCAAACCGGTTAGGGCTATAGTAATTTCTTATGTCATCTAGTATCCAGGGTTCAGATCTTCCCAGTTGTCCCATAAATCTTTTTGTAATTAATTAGACTCAGACTCCAAAGACTCCATTTACTTGCTATGTCCCCAAAGTCTTCCTTCCATTTTTTTAAATATATTTTATTAATTTTTTACGGAGAGGAAGGGAGAGAGAAAGAGAGTTAGAAACATCGATGAGAGAGAAACATCAATCAGCTGCCTCCTGCACACCTCCTACTAGGGATGTGCCCGCAACCCAGGTACATGCCCTTAACCGGAATCGAACCTGGGACCTTTTAGTCCGCAGGCCGACGCTCTATCCACTGAGCCAAACCGGTTTCGGCCCTTCCATTTTTTAAATATTGCATTTATTCATTGAAGAAAGTGGGTTGTTTACATTCTGACTGTGATTGCATCCCCAGAGTGTCATTGAACATTTTTCTCTGTCTGCTGTATATCCAGGAAACTGTGTAACTTTTTAATGTGTGTTTTTCTGAGCTGAGAAGAAAAGTATAAATGCATTCTCTTACATTCAAAAAATTTGGAAGTACATAAGCAAAACACATATTTCCCTATTCCTCATCTTGTGTTAAATTGTTGTTAATCCTCACCCGAGGATATTTTTCCATTGATTTTTTTTTTTTTTTTAAGAGAGAGAGGGGCCCTAACTGGTTTGGTTCAGTGGATAGAGTGTCGGCCTGCAGACTCGTGGGTTCCAGGTTCAATTCTGGTCAAGGGCATGTGCCTGGGTTGCAGGCCTGATCCTCATTAGGGGATGTGCAGGAGGCACCCTCTCCCTTCCTCTCTGTAAAAAATCAATAAAATGTTTTTTTTTTTTTAAAAGTGGAAGGGATGGGGAGAGACAGAAAGAAGCATCAATGTGAAAGAAACATACCAATTGGTTGCCTCCTGCACATGATGCCTCAATCAGGGCCAGGGATTGAGTTTGCAACCGAGGTACATGCCCTTGACCTGAATAGCATCTGGGACCCTTCAATAGCATCTGGAGCGAGGACCAACGCTCTATCCACTGAGCCATACCAGCTAAGGCCTAAATTATTTCTTTATCATGCACTCAGTCTATACCCTATTCACTGAGTGGAAGGAGATACAAAGTTCTAAAATTGTATCTGCTTTTAGAGTGTTTGCGACACATTAATAACATTTGTGCATCACACTGCTGTTTGCAAAACACTTTTATCCTTTAATGCTCCCAGCCACAGCAAGGGGTAGAAAATTTTAATCCCAGTTTTACACATGAGAACAGATTCTTTCCCCAGGATCACAGCCCAGTGGTGATCATGGGCCTCCACCTCAGGCCTCCGACTCTTGTCCCCACATCCTTTCCCCTTATCATGTGGCTGTTTGTCAGGAACTAAAAGGAGCTCATTTGAAACAGATTGTAAATATGCCTTTTAAGAAAATAATAGGATACCTTTTAATTTCTGACTTTAAAATTCACTACACCTTTCCCCTTCTCACTTCCTCCCCCACTCCTCCCTACCTTTCTGTTGTCTTCATTCCTTTTCATCATTCCTAGTTTTACCTTTGGGTCTCTCTCTATCTGGTCAGAACCCCATATCAGTTCATTTAGGAATTTTACACTCAGTGAGGCTCACAAACCTATATGTTGACCAATGAACTTTCAGAAAGAGTCTGGAGGTTTTGGCTAAAAATACATGATAGTATTCAAGGGTGTTCAAGTTTGTAGGTTGGGAGCCCAGCGGGGCAGAAGCCCACGAAGGGTTGCAGAGAAGAAAGGAGAGTGGAGAGGTCTTCAAGTCCCGCACTCAGCCCGGGGATTGGCCCAGGAGTTACCAGGCCGAGGTCAGGTTGTCTGGAGGCACCCTCTGCTCCTGGGCTGCCAGAATCCTGCGGTTCCCTAATGTGATCTCCTCACTAAACACAGACAAACGCGAGGGCTAGCAATCCGGCTTATAAAAACAAAAAGGAGTCCGTTGCTAGTGTTTTTATTTAAATGAGGAATCCTGGCCTCTGAAATAATTCCTTTTAATATCTTTGGTTGCTGTTTGCGTTAGTGGTTTCTGCAGTTTTGCTTTCTGGCTTGGGGCTTCTCGTGAATGACAAGCACTGAGATCCCCAGTGTGCAGTCTGAGGCCGGGGAGGCGGTGGGGAGGCGCGCCCTGCTTCAGGCGCCGGGGGAAGAAGACCCCTCCTCCGAGCTCGGCCTCGCCCTCCGCCCGCAGCGTTAGTCAGCACTTTCCGGGTCTCCAGGTTGCTCGTGGCGCCACCTGCCGGGAGACGCCCGGGAACTCCAGAGGCGGCAGCGGGGTGGGGCGCTGGGATCCTCTCCGACAGGCTGGGCGTCCGTGGCAACCGGCTCCACGGAGGAGTTCCGCTGTTCGCCACTGGCCAATAGCAGCGGGCGTGACGGGTGACGTGGCGGCTGGGGTGTCTGAGACGCCGGCGCTCATTGGACAGGCTCCGCTCTGGTCCCTGCAGCCGCATTGCGGGCGGCAACCGCAGCGGTTGTCTGGTCGCTGGCCCTGTACGAGGAGGACACTTTTGCGAGTCTTCGTAGTGTCGAATGCAAAAGGGATGAAGTCAAGGACTAAGTGATGCTCATTTTGGCAGCGAGGCAACCAGTGCCGCCTCTGCAGACGCGGCCCGTTAGTCTGCATTTTTATGCCCATTCCTCCACCCCCCACCCCCATTATTATTTTGCATTGAGCTGGAACTTAGCGGTGTTGGGCAAGGTTTACGAAGTAGTGTGTGTAAACATTTCAGAATGTGAAAATGCCAAAGTGTGTGTGTGAGCACTTCCCCATCAATGATCATCATCCAGAGATAACAAAGTAGACATTTTTGCCGGTGACCTTGTATACACACAGGCACTTCTTTTCCGAAGCACGTATATCTGACCTTGTTTTCTGGTGCTTTCCGCCCCCAGGTCCAAACACATGGTGAGTAATCTACCACCAGGCCCCTCGTTGTTGGCTCCTGTGACTAGCTGAGCTGTGGTCATCACCCACTCTGTGGCCACCTTTGCACATGTATCTCTTAGATCCCTGAACGGGAGTATTGCCGGTGAAAAGGGGGGACCAGGAGGGCAAGGTCCCCACCTCTCACAGAGTCTGCCTTTTGGGAGAAGGATTAGCAGCTCCCTAGTGAGGCCTCGGGGGTCTAGTCCCGATTCAAGCACCATCCTCTTAACCACTTCTTGTCTGTGAGTGTGGGTGACAGATAATCCTCCCCAGGCTGCTTAGAAAAATGGAGGACAGTCTGTGAAAGCATGCTGCAAACTGTCCAGCCTTCCAGAGTAACACCATGGTTACTGTTACTGTTTGTTACGAGTTTAGGGTCAGAGCCGTTTCCTCCTCCGGTGGTAAAGAACCGGCCCCTCTGGCACGAGGTGTCCATGCTCACGGCTTGTCTGTTTCCAGGAAGAACGCTGTGGAGCTAGAACTCGCCAAGTGCAAGATGGACATGATGTCTCTGAACAGCCAGCTGCTGGATGCCATTCAGCAGAAACTGAACCTCTCCCAGCAGCTCGAGGCTTGGCAGGTAAGGGCGGGGAAGGAGACTCCGGAGGGGTCTGAACGCAGGCAGCGTGTGCGGAGGAGGGTTTGGTACCGGAGGGTCCGGTGTGCATGGGTGAGCAGTAGCCCTGGCTCACCTGTGGAGGTCAGAGTCCTGCTTCCCCGTCCCCGGGAGGATGGCTGGGGATGCTCTCACCAGCTGCTGTGGTGGAGGGCCCAGGAAGCCTGTATGACTGAACGAAAGCAGAGCCGGGTGTAGCTCAGCAGCCCTGAGGTCGCTGCAGCTGCTGCCCTTCCTTTCCCCAAGGCCAGCTTCTTTTTGCGGAAGAGGCCATCCTGGTGCGAGCCGGGGACAGAGCCAGTGCGTCCCTCTGGGGCCGCTGCTTTCAGAGCCAGCAGCCCACCCCTCAGGCCTGACGCGCTCTCCTCTGAGCCAGGGCTGCCCTGGCTCTTGTTAACGAGGCCGCAGTACCGTTCAGTTCAGGATGTGGGTGTGACCACTCCTTGGACACCTGTGGCTCCAGGCGAGCCCGCCGTGGAGGGGCCTGGACTGCTGCGGCAGGGCCCTGAGCTGTGACCCTCCCTCCACGCCCAGAGCGGGTCCCGGGCTTACGTCCTGTTCTTTTCTCTTCTCTCCTGGCTACAGTTTGCTTCCTCAGGGCTTTTTACTATCTGGCTCCTTTGGTTTCTGATCTAGTGGCCTTTCTCAGTTCCCGTATCAACAGCTTTAGTTGTACACCCCTCCTGCCTTTGAGGTGAGATTGCACTCTCATCCCATCTACCCTTACCCCCCTTCCATGCAAGTCCCGTCCCTGTCGCACCTCGTGGCCCACCGCGTCTGCGTGCTGGAGTCCGGCATCATGTCTGTACTGTGCGCCCTGCCATCGCGCCCCAGCCCCTCCCGTCATCACCATGCCGTGAATTGGGCAGCATGTGCCCGGTACCGACAGGCTGAGCCTGGTTTCTTGGTAGCACCTCCTCCTAATTGGGGTCACTTTGCTCACAGAGGTAACGGCAGGTGTGGGATTATGAGCAGTTTATTTATGTGCGCGCGTGAGTGTGTGTGTGTGTGTGTGTGTGTGTGGTTGGGGGTCACCACATGAGGAGCTGTGTGAAAGGGTCGCCGCGTTAGGAAGGTGGAGAACCGCTGCTCTAAAGTGAGATAAGCATGAAAATGCGGTATGCGCTGTGCCTGCACCAACGGGCTGCTTTGAAAGGGCTCCTTCCTGCAGGACGCTCTGCGGTTCCTGCTGTTGCATTTAACCACGTAGGTCCTGTTGAGCGCGGCCGGCCTACGTGCAGGCACTGCTGGGGGTTAGAACGGGGACTGGGCTGCAGCTAGGGAGCCTGTCTCCTATTTCTGGGAGGAGGAGGGTGCAGGGAGGACGAGGAGTATGCCGCCAGTCGGATGGAAGGAGAGGTGGGAGGGAGAACAGGATGTGGCCAAAGTAGAGAAAAAGAGCTCCTCACCCGCCCAGCAGCCGCCTGGTGATGGCTAAGAAGTCTTTGCTTCACACCGAAACCTGCAGACATTGGCGTGACTTCGCTGGTGAGAGCTGGGTGAGAGTGTAGATGGACAAGCTGCTCAGGAGGGGCCAGCAGCACACTTCTGCGCTCCTCCAGTGAGCGGCTGCCTGCCCTTGGCAACCCTAGCCCAAGGCTCAGACTTTTGCCAGGACATCCCAGGGCCCGCAGGGTTCAAGATGCTTATGCTTCC